CCCCCTAAGTGATCTGACCACCTGCAGTGCCCAGTGCAGGTCCACCCACCCAAGAAGTAAGCCCTTGTTGAAATTCAAAAGAGAACCTGCCAGCTCGCCTTGGGCCCTCATCACAATTTTCCCATCACAGAAGATTGCTGTGCCGATTGTATAGGGCCACCTGGATAAGCAACCAGACAGCACCTGGCAGGCGCAGGGGGAGTCCCCTGGACAGCAGAGCCTGGGATGGGGTGGGATGGGGTGGGACACCCAGCAAGCAGCAGCAGCAGCCCAACCTCTATTTCCTGCTGGTTCACCTTAGTCCAGATTGTAGCTCCACGTTTAAGGCTGAGCTCAGTAAAAGCTTACTGGGTGGTGTGTGATTTGTCCACAAAAAAATGATGATAAAGTAATAATTTTCTGAACACTTGAAATGTGCCAGACACTGTTTCTGGCCCTGGTCTCACAATAGGGAGACATACAAAAATATATGGCTGATCAGTATGCCCATTTCACATATGAGGAAGCTGAGGCACCAGGAGGTCCAAAAATTTCTGCAAGGTTGGAAGCTAGTAAGTGGATCTGCTGGCTCTCCAGCTCAGACAGTCTTACCTCAAAGCCCTCCCCCTTGACACCACTTTCCAGGGACAGGGTTTGCTCTGGGGTGAGGAGCCAGCATTATGCTGGGAGAACCCCTAGATAGCACAATGAAAAGGTCTCTTCTCTGGGGCCATCAGTTTTTAAAAGAAAATCTTTACACTTGTTGCCACTAGGGATGGGAGAAGACCGTTAGCTCCCCTGTGGGATGAGCAGTGGGGGAGAGACTCTCACTCCATTTACAGACTTCCAAGGAGACCCCTGTTTTTATCTTCATGTCCCATTCTGTGGCATTTCCAGGTCCGGGGCAGATGGTTCCCTCCTCGGTTCAGTCCCCTCACTCCTCTCAGCGCACTGCTTTTTCAGTCACTACTCTGCCATTCGTTCATTCATCCATCCATCCAATATTTTTGAGCACCGGCTATGTGCCAGGCACTATTCTAGACTCCAAAACAGCAGTGACTGAAACGATCCCTGTGCCAGTGGGATAGAGTGAATAAAATAAATAAGTCAAAGAGTCCTTAGTGTTGCAGAAAAAATGAAAGCTAGGTGAGCGGGGTGCTGCAGTGTAAGGGACTCAGGGCAGGTCCCACTGAGAAGGCGACATGTGAGCAGACTTGACCCCTCTCATTTCCTCTCCCATTTCCCTCGTTGGTGAGAACTTGGGCTTCTGCTCCTTTACTCTCGATGTCATGAGTGGGCCCCCGGGGTGGGAAATGGATGTGCTCACTCTTCCATCTTTCCCAGAAGGCCGCCTCCTGGCTTCCGTGCTGCATCTGGGGCAAGTGTGGTTGAGATGGGTCGTGAAGGGCTGAGCACACGGTGCCAGCAGCCAGGCCAGGCAAACCGAGTCCCCAGAGAGGAGCAGGGAAGAGGCTTTCCCTCCGACAGGAGGCGGTCAGAAGGAGCCCAGCACACGGAGTGAGGTTCACGACTCCAGGTGACTCTGGGCAAGTCCCTGCCCCTCTGGGCCTCCTTTCGCCGAGGGTAACATGAAGGGCCAGGTCTGATTTGCACCCTCTCCCTCCTTCCCACAGTAGATTGTCCAGGACAGCCAGATGGCAGCCCAGGCTGAGAGCTCCCAGTAACTTGATGGGGAACGGTTGGGAAGCTGGAGTTTTGGGGTTCTTCAAGCCCTGGCAGTGGGCCACGTCAGGTTCAGAGCATTCTGGATGGAAACACTAAAGAACTGTCTGGGGAAGAGATTGGGGAAGGACTGGCACCTTCCATACTCATGTACCTCAAAGTCCAGGGGACTGTAGTTTCAGGCATGGCTGGAGCCAGGAGCTCAAGAGATATCACCAGGACTATGTCTCCATCTCCCAACTCTGCTTTCCTGGGCACTGGGAGAGCCATTTCCTCCTGGTGCCCCCAGCAGCTTCAGGCTTAATCCATCCTCAACAGCTCAGAAAGAGTGCATGGACCAGCGTGGGTCACGTCTTTCCCTGAAAAGGGACTGTGGCCTCGGGGGGTGGCCAGGCCTGGATCACATAGCCACTCGCATAGCTGGAGTCAGCTACGCCCATAAGATGCTGCACAGGGAGAAGCAACTGGCACCCGCAGGTGTTTGCTAAGAGTTTCTTACCTCTTGACAGGCCCCTACGAGCAGAGCAAGGCGAGGAAGAGCTGGACTTGGGATCAGGAGACCAGAGCTCAAGTTCTGACTCTGAACTTTATGTGTGACCTCAGGCAGGTCGCCTGCCCATTCTGCCCCTTCATTCTTTTGTCAGATGGCTATCCCTGCCCCTTGAGAGCCTGCTGATGGAAAAGGCTGGGCCAGGAGCAGAATGTGGCATCTGTGCAAGGGGAGTTGTATCAGTCTTCTTGCCTCTTAAGAGCACGTCATTAGCAATTCTAGCCTGGACTTTGGGTGACAAAGGATCACCTTCCCCCCTCCGTGCTCAGGGCTTGGTCACACCTCCAGGCATTTGTTCAAGCTCTTCCATTGGCCTGAATCACTGGTGCACCTACCAGTTCCTGTTCATTTTCCAAAGTCCAACAAACACTGCATTCTCCCTGCAGCCCCCACCCTCCCGTCCTGATGCCCCTGGGGACTCCCATCAGTGGTGTCCCAGGGCCAACTCAGACCAGCTAGGAGAGTCAATGGTGCAGTGTTCTAGAACTTTCTACACCATGGACTCATGTATTCCCAATTCCATGTTTAGAGTCATTAAGTTGGTTCTTGAAACTGGCCATGGTGGAAGTATTTACACCATGGAAATAAGCAAACGCTACAATCAGGCTTTATTGAGTGCCTACTATGTACCACACTGAAGATAAAGCAGTGAACAAAATGAAGTTGTTGCCCTCATGGAGCTTCTGTTTGATCTATCACCTTTGTCTCGAGCATATGTTTATCTCCATCCATCCATCCATCGAACCATTCCTCCTTCAAGCTTTTGCCATCTGTCTGTCCATCCACTTACCCATGTTCACCCACCAATGTGCCTATGGGTCCAGCCATCATCATCTGCCGACCTCCTACAAACCCATTCTCCCAGGTGGGCCAGCTCTTGTCTTGGTTTTGCACCCACATTTATGAGCTGAGCCCCATCAAAGATGGAGCCAGTCAAGAGCTATGTCTGGCCCAGGCCAGAGCCTCCATCCGACGCCTGGCCTGGCATCAGTCAGTCCCGGGAGTTCCCCTCCCCCTTCTCTCCTCCCCAGCATACAGCTCTGCATGTGGGGAACTGAGCAGCTGCCCTAGGGAGCCTGTGGCCCAGGTGGCTCCTGTAACCTGCTGCCCCCAAGAGGGTGAGAAAACCACAGCACACCTGGAGGCTCGAGAGTCTCCAGGGTGTTGGTGGGGTGGTGAGGTCTGTTCACACAAATGCAAGAGCTGTGGTTTCACATTTGTGCTGCCATCCAAGCCAGCACAAATATTAATCCAGGTTAATATTCCCAGAATTAAAACCATCAATGCTCTAGAACTTTCTACACCATGGACTCGTGTATTCTTTCAGCAACTTTTCCCAACCACTCAACTTTACAGATGAGTCACAGAGAAGCTTTTGGCTGAGCCAAATTCTAGCTCAGACTCATCCAAAAAGAGACAAGGCAGAGCAGTCTCCTTCAGGCCTCACCCTGCAGCCCAGCCCCTGGGGAGGATGACAGGCCTGGCTGGGGCTTCCAGGCCAGGGTGGAGATTCCCCTCAGTGCCCTGGGAGCAGGCCTCTGAATCAGACTCCCAGCTGCCTTCACCCAGCTTGGTGGTCTTAAAAATCCCCCTCTAAATGTCAATATACCCTTAGGGGGAAAACAATCTTGTTTTTTTTAAAGTGAGTTGAGTGCAATATGCAGCATTTATACCCACCGCCTGTGCACAGCTGATGTTCAGTAAGTGCCCTCAGAACATGGCTGAGAACTCTTTCCTTGGCTTCTTAATTCACATCCAACAGACTGACAATCATCAATAAAACCTTGACTTCTCCTAACTCCCCAAGATGAGTAAATAAGATGCCAGGGGCACGAGGGTGCCATGTCATCACTGCCAACTCCTGTCTGCCCCTGTCCCCACCCTGAGTGCCAAGGTGGGTCACAGGGCCTGTGCTCCCCACCCTGTACCAAGCACTTGGCACGAGGCCCAGCACGTATGGTGCTCAATAAATATTTCTTAGTGCATAAAGGGAATTTTTAAATGAGCAGGAGCCAGAAAAAAATTTTTGGTTGGTGGGAGGCTGTTTAAAGAGACAAGGTTGACTGATTTTAAGCCCGGAAACCCCCCCTCCCCCGCCAAGTGCCCCTCTGCAGGGTGGGGACGGCCCGCAGCCCAGGCTGTGGCTGCTTTCTCGCCCCCACCCACCTCCAGCACAAGCCTTGGTCCCACCGCAGAAGGAAGGAAGCTGACGTTTATTGAGGGTCTGCTCTGGGCTGCACACTGGGTGGGCGACTTCACTGATTTCTCTCCAAGGTGAGTCGTGCCGTCCACATTGTCCAGACAGGAAATCCCAGCCCAGAAGCGGGGAGCAACACCCCGAGGCAGCACAGCCAGGAGGCGTCAGAGTCAAGACTCAGACCTGGGTACGAGTCTCATACTGTTCCCCCCAGATCTTCCCACCCTGAAAGGTGATAAGGAAAGACATGGACTTCTTGTGGCTCCTGGAGGGCAGGCCCTGGAGAGCAGGGTTTGGTGTCTGCCACAGGCAGTGTCCTGGTCCCAGGAGGCCTTGTGGACAGCACTGGACCAGACTCTCGCATGTGACCCAGGGGCCACCCCGTGTGCCTGGCAGTGAGGGGGACTGCCACCGTGTGCACTAGGCATGCGTGCTGTTCACACATGCAGACATACCTATGTGCTCCTGAGCCACCCACACACCACACACCACACACGTTGGGGAGACCTAAGGCTGCAGGTCTCTTCACACCCAGTGACCACGTTTCGTGGCCCAGTGGCACGGCCAGTTCTGAGCAGCCAGCCAGCCTCACTAGCTGGCCTGGGGCCCAGGTCCTGCGGGGGGAGGAGCCATGACCACCCATTGGCGGAGGTAGCTCCTGGGGGGCCCTTCGTCCCTGGGGCTGGTGAAGTCGCACTCCACGGGGCTGCCGCAGTCAGAGCCTGCAAAGCCGCTGTCAAACGTGTCCATGTCCAGGCCAGCGGGGGGCGAGCTCGCCTCACTGTCACACACCCCTCTGGATGGCCCACTACCCCAAGGCGGCCCTGGCGCCCAACCAGCCTCATCTTCAAGGGGCAGCATCAGTTTGTCCAGGAGGCTGCCCAGGGGACCCCCCAGCCCGGCAGGGCCACCAGCTGCAACGCAGCCACAGGACAAGACTGTGGCCTCAGTACCCAAGAGCGGGTCCTCAGTGCCTGCGCCAGGCTCCAGGCCAGCGTCCAGGTTCAGAGCTGGGTAGCCATCTTCCTCACAGGTACAGGGCCAGGCACATGGCTCCTCTGTATCCGCCACGGTCACCGTGTCGATGGACACCAGGCCATAGGGCCGGTCCCCCTCCTGGTAAGCTGAGCTGCCCCCGCTGCCCGCCGTGGAGGGGGCGGGGCCCCAGGAGCCCGGCTCAGGCACCCCGTCGGCTTCCACCAGGTCCGCAGGCCCCGGCAACAGCGTGGTCGGCAGCAGGGTGGCCTCCGGACCCTGGACTGCATTCAGCGGTGGGCAAAAGTTGTATATCTCCAGGGTCGAGGGCACCCCTGAGTTCCAGGGGCTCAGCTCCAGGCTGGAGGCACTGAAGGGTGTACCCACCCATTTCTGTGAGAGAGAACGGGGACGGAGAGTCATGGATGGGAAGGGGGCCAGGCAGGGTACAGACTCAGACCGTGGGTGGCTCAGTGGCCTGCAGGGGCCAAAACTCCCCAGCTGTGGTGACATGGGGACAGGAGACTCTGAGGTCTGAGTGACTGAGCCCCTACCTGCCCCCGTTTTATTTCCTCCAGACATTTCTTGTAACCTAGCATTCTCCTGATCATGTCTCCATGACGGTGGACCTCAGCCAGGGCAGAAGCCCCAGGCCTTCTGGTCACAGCTGTGTCCCTGAGGCTCACACAGTACCTGGCACACAGTAAGTGGCCAATAAATGTTTATCAATTAAATGAATGAGCGGAACGTGTCCGTGAAAAGCCACTTGGGATGGCCCATGTGTGCTGTGGGGTCATGAGGGACTGAGGCAGAGGCCCCCAAGCATTGAGGATCCCCCTCTTGACACAGGGTCTTTATCCAATCAGCAGAGAGAATCCCTGAGAACTGGAATCTCCAAGATGTGAGCCTATCGCCCATGGAAAGCTCATCTTGGAACCCTGATGTGGCTACAACCACTGATTTGAAGTCATTTCTCAGCTGTGTGGCCTCTCGATGCCTCAGTTTCCTCATCTGTAAAGTGGGCCTGCTAATAGCACCCACTCGCAGAGTTATTGTGAGGAGTAAATCAGTTAGTATCTGGGAAGCTCCTAGCAGAGTGCCCAGGGCACAGCGAGTGCTATGTGAGTATTGGTAAAGTGAATACAAAATAGATGTGATATTGGAGCCTCTGGGAAGGTGCAGAGGAGAGAGGAAAGGGTCTGTCTTTGTGGACTGGAGTCCACGCTCCCCACTAAAGCCACTTCTCTGATCTGAGCCTGGGTCCCCTCACAGGTCCCCTGGGGATGATGGAGTGAGTGCCCACCCCGCAGGGGCTGCAGGAAAATGCTCGGGGTGGAGGCTCAGAGAGCTCTCAGCGCAGCTCCGGGCAGACTGCAGGAGCTCAATCAATGCTCTAGTCCACGTTTCCTGACTTCCAGGCTCCTCCCGCTGTCACCACATCCTCTCTGTGGGAGGGCCCCTCCTGCCACCGCTGGGTGGGTGTTGAGCGGTAAATGGGCCCAGAGAGTCCGTGGGCGCCGGTGGTGGCTGCTGTGGTTAAAGCTTGGCAGGGGGTTGGTATATTTTGCAGGCAGGTCCATAGTCTTCCCAGAACCTGCTCCCTCTCCACCCCCATATCAGGGGCATCTAAGGACCAGGAAGCCGATTTGTGGCCCCATGGTGCACCTGGCCCACCCCACCCCCAGTTGGCTCTGTGGGCTGGAAGATACTGCACGATCTTGATTAATTCTACCCCAGAATTACTTCCTGCACTTTGCAGATGCCAACACCGAGGCCTGGCTTCGGGCCTGGCTGGGCCTGCAGGCTGGGGCTGGGGGTGCAGGTGGGCTCCCAGAGACAGTGAGAGGCTTCAAGGGGCTCACCTCTGGGTGGGGGCTCTCACCTTGAAGTTTCCTCTGTGGTTCACATACAGGTGCTGGAAGAATGGCTCTGGGCTGGGCACCTGCACCCACACCTTCCACAGCCTGTGAGGGCAGAGAGAAGGTAAGCCCCCATCTCCCAGAGGGCCTCCCCTCAGATGTTCCCCAACTTCGTCCTGCAGGGCTTCCCAAGACACACCCAGGTACCTCCTTTTGACTCTGTCCCCACCCCCTGCCTGCCCTGAGCCTCAGTGTCCCCTTCTGTAACCTGAGGGCATGGCGTTTAGAGGCTCGGCTGCCTATTGCCTGCTTGGCAAATGCTGCCTCTGAGCCTCGGCTTCCTCCTCTAGGCCCAGGGTGGGCAAAGAGCCAGTTACTCAGGACCGTGGGGATGCGTGGGTGCGCCCGGCGCCCAGCCCCAGGAGCACCCTGAAAGCCACCGTACGCCCCCGAGCTCCTCCACCTCTCGCTCTGTCTCAGTCCCTAGATGGAGATGACGGGACAAGCCTGCGTCTGGCGAGGGCTCAGCACGCGGCAGCCAAGGTCCTGCCGTAGCCAGCGGCACTCAGGGCCAGAGGAGCCTACGGTTTCTTTTCAATCAGCAGCACCCTTCCCTCGATGACCGTGTTCAGCAAAAACCAATATAGAGACAAAAGCAAAATCTCAGGTTGAAGCGGAGGGGTTCGGGGTGGGTTAGGACGCCCACCCTTCGCCCCACCTGGGGGTCCCTCGTGCCCCTCAGAACTCAAGGCTTAAAATTCACTGACACAGTCACAGCCGAGGCCACTGTTAAGAGCACAGGGTTCAGGCCAGGCCGGTGGGCTCAGTGGTTAGCGCATCGGCCCAAGCACCAAAGGGTCTCGGGTTCAATTCCAGGTCAAGGGCACGTACCTGGGTTGCAGGTTTGATCCCCGGCCCCAGTCGGGGCACGTGCGGGAGGCAACCAATCGATGTGTTTCTCTCACATCGATGTTTCTCTCTCCGTCTCTCTCCCTCCCTCCCTTCACTCTCCCTAAAAAAAACAAAACAAAACAAAAAAAACAATGGAAAAAATATCCTCAGGTGAGGATTAACCAAAAAATAAAAAATAAAGAGCAGAGGGTTCAAAGATCACCTCCTTTATTTCATAGCCCTGCAACTCTGGGCAGGTTCCTTGCCAACTCTGTGCCTCGGTTTCTCAGTTTGTCAAACGGAGGTCACTGCTGTGCATCAGGCTCCTGGGGCTGCTGTGGGGGTTGAGTGAGTGCTCCGCACAGTGCCCAGCACACAGGCAACGGGAGCTGGTCATTGTTACCACTATTGTCGTTATCACTGTCACAATAGCCGGTGTGCCCCCAGCCCCGGGTGAGTCACAGAGGGGCTGCGGCCTAGGCTGACCCCCTCCCCTACCTCCTTGGATCCCTGGCCTCACCTCCAAGGCAGGCGGATCTTCAGACCTAAGTAGACAAGGATGGGGAGCGTGAAGACGAGGGCGAGGTACAGCAGGTCCGTGTGCCAGCCTCCCTTCGTCTCTGGGAAAGAAGCAAATGTTGGGTCAAGTGGAGCCCACCCGACTAGAGGCCATCG